TCAGACATGGCTAATAACGTTTTCTACTATTGAAATTCCAATCACCCTAAGCCACATTGGTTGATAGTGGACTGATAATTGAATTTTCCCAATAAAAGGGGTAGGCCTGTTTCCTTCTCGACGCGTTGCTACCAGATCAAAGTATTATGAGTACCAAATCACAGGGCAGAAGAGCATTTCAAGTGTCCAGACCTCCAATATATGTGTATATGGTAATTGTCGATTAGGCAAATTTATGTTTTAATATTAGAATCGAGTATTTGTGTTCGTTTAAATTTAAGTTCGAAACTGTCAGTAAATCTTGAATGAGTGATGAAGATCTTATAATTGAATCTTTCCACAATGGCCTCATGCCGATTGAATTTCACTTATCTTTGCTTCCCAGAGGGTATTCTCACTTAGGGTAGACTACAATTTTATCCTGGCCTAGGTTAACATGTGAAGGTAATGAGCTTCATTACCCGGGCTCGAATCACGATGAGTAGGCTGGTAGTGACTTAGGTGAGGTCAAAATGCAGTCCAACCTGAATTAGAATACTTCTTTGGAAGTGAGACCAAGTGAAATCCAATGATAATGTGAAGCCTATTAATATAATTGTTGGGAAACTCAACAATCATTCCCCTATCCTCCTATTTAACCTAGAGTTTTTAGAACTTCTATTCAAGATGTGCTGGTAGTTTAGAAAGCTAATTTAGACGAATATAGATTATTCACCATGCCTTCATCTAGGAATAAGCGAAAGCCTATGGTAAAGAGAGGAACACGTTAATTAATCTAATAGATAGTTGTTCAAACTTAAGTGGGATCTAGCCATAATGATTACTCCGGAAGATTTCAAGACACTAGAGTATAACTGGCAAGATGTCATGAAGGATCTCGAACTTCATATCTAAGAGAGTTGCTAGGAAATTGCTTAGGTATGGATGTAAATGGCAGCATAAGATAGAACCAATCGGACAATTTGGCGTGGTTTTCTGACTGACAAATCCATGAATCCATACGACTAGTTGGATAAAGTGGTGCATTTATACTCAGTTCTTCATGATTATGAAGCCACTACAATCCCTCAAAAAGGATTTAATTTTTCACTTAAAACTGAAAGAAATCTTGGTAGGCTCACAAATATCTCTGACAAGTTAACTGAGCAGATAAAACTGGAAGTAGAGGTGAAAATAATTACGAAAAGCTTAAAAAAATCAAGAGACCACAAAAGGGGACAGCTTAAAGAATCTAAACAGAACGTTACAAAGGAATGTAAAATTTTCCTAAAGGTAAGCAAAAGAGACTTAACGGAGATAATAGACGATAAACCATATACTGAAATAAATGGTCTACAAGGAAAAAGAAACACATTTCGATTAGTAAAGAATGTCAAGCATGAAGATTAATGGATTGAATATTAATGGGGAATCGAATGATGAGCGTTAGATTTGCCGTTAAGAAAGGACGCACGTTCACCGACAACTTACGGGTTACAGGAGAAACATAAAAAATAGGAATCGCTAAGCCATGTTGTAAATATCAAATCTGAAGCACCCAGATCAACTAATTTTATATGTTTGAGGCCTAAGAAGCTAAACTACAGATTATTTATCACAGCAGGGAATTCATATGCATATTCTCTAGGTATCAAAAACACTTAATTTATGCTTACCGGCAACTTAGGGCAAAAAGGCATCCACAACTCTGTTGAATAGCTTGGAACTAGAATAGAGTGCCTTTGAAGCGGAGTTCGGGAGGACTCGGTAACACAATGACCACATAGTTCACATTTAATAGCAACATTTACACTTAAATATTTAGAGTCCTCTTGAGATCGCCATTCATATCTTTTGGTAAAAAGTATGTTTTTTTCGTATTTAAGTAGAATTTCGAGACTATCAGTAAATCACTAATATAAGATGTATTCACCCAATTTCGTTTAAGGTTATGAAGGACTGGTAGTAGAATTTTCCCAGAATGATATGACTAGAGCCAACGTTTCCATTCAATTTCACATAGCCCTGCTTTTACGAAATTGCTCTCATCCAGTGGGGACTAAAGTTTCGACTTCGCATCGGTCTTATCAACAGCCCCAGCAGGAGTCGAACCGTGACAGTGCAGAATGTGAGCTTGACATGTTAACCACTTGGCCCCATTGCCACGAGTGCCCTTGGGTCACAGGGTAGATGTGTTTCAAAGAAGATCAGGCCTTTTGACATCATATTCTTTGGTGGGATTGCCAATGAAGTCCTTCATCACCTTAAACGAAATAGGGTGAATACATCTCATATTACTGATTTACTAGTACTCTCGAAACTCTACTTCAATATGAAAAATAAATAACGTAGTCGATTTTTATAGCAAATATACGTTTGCTTCATCGACAATCCCACCAAACAATATTATATGGCAAAAGAAATGGCCTTCCTTGAAATTCACATCTATCCTGTGACCCAAGGGCACTCGTGGCAGTGTGGCCACATTCTGCACTGTCACAGTTCGACTCGCTCTGGGGGTGTTGATAAGACCGACGCGAGATCGAAACTGCAGTCTACTTCAGCCTGGATGAGAACAACTTTTGGGTAAGCAGGGCAGTGTGAAATTCATTGGAAACGTCAGCTCTACTTATATTATTGTGGGGAAATTCGACCACCAGTCCTTCTTCGTCTTAAACGAAATAGGGTGAATAAACGTATACTTTAATAAATTCGAGGCTTCGTCGTGACAGCCAGCTGTACTCATTTAATACCTGGGTCACAACTTTACGCTTTGGTATCAGGAAAGAAAAAAATTAGTTCAATTCCTGAAGTTTATAAACCAGCTTGACGAAAGCATCGCATTCACAATTAAGATGCAAGAGGATGGGTAACTACAAGGCTTAGATGTCGAAGTAATTTTCCCCAAAAACTTATTCAAGAGAGGATCATTCAGCAAGAATTAGCGCGCAGGAATAGTCGTTAATTTCCAGTTTCATAATAACTACGGGCTAAAGATTGCAATAATGAGAAGCATGGATCTGATCTGTCTCAGCAAGGGATTTCTTCAATAGCTCATACAAGAAAATAAACAGGTCGTGAAAAGCAAATATCATGATAGGAAGAAGTATAACGGCAAATTAAGGATGGAGAAGGACAGAAAAGTAGGCTTGCCTATCCTCCTGCAGATCAACTTGAAAACTATGACGAATAATAACGTAGCCTGAAGTTTATGAGATTATGGAGAGTAAAACGATGCTTTTCACAAGCTTGCTCACGTACTTAAGAAAGAAAGTTAACTGGATTGCAGAAACATGCTTACGAAGTGCCAAGAAAGGTCAGCATATAGGTCGAGCAACACCAAAAACTGTGTGGAAAATGGAAATGAAATCATCAGAAATAGCGTAACACATTGAACAGATAGGACAAAATATTGAATGTAAGGGGACAGAAGGATTGAATTTATACAGAGAAAATATCAATAGACGAAAGGCTAAGGGAGGTCGTGGGTATCCTTGTTAAGAAATCTAATAATTAAGAGATTCAAAAGGAGGCACAAGATCTGCACAGGGTAAATGCCTAGATAAGATTCTACCTTGAACCAGAAGAAGACGGAATGAGGTACGAAGACGAAGATTAGGTTGATGTTCCAGGACAGGAGAGATTTCCTAATCACTTAACTGAGTGCGGTTCATATGATTGACTCATCTTATCTCTTTGAATTTGGCTATGCTGGTAAACTTCTGAGAATATACAAAGTTCACGAACCGGCTGAAAATTCCCATGAATACTGTGACAGTATTTCGGATAATGTGGGTTAATTATGCTCGCTAAATTGCGAAAAGTGGGTTAAATTATTTATTTAGGAAATGTTGATTGAAATAGCTTCATTTTTCCCGACATTTTTGTTTGCGTATATAAATGCTTATTCAGCTATATACTCACCCATATGCTTAGAATACTTGTCTGAAATCAAAGTTTTGGTATGACCCTAGCGCTGGCAGAGGCTATTGGTTCCTGAGATCATAGATTGATCAGTACATTGCAGAAAATTGCTGAGTTGTAGGGGCCTGCAGCACCGCAGCTTTGTTATTATAGCATGTCCGTTTTTAAGGCTAAAAGTAAAGGCCATCGTAGTCAAAAGGGTGAGGATTGTGATCAGTGTATATTAGAAGAAGTAATATTTGGTAAAAAGTTTTGCGTTTGAACGATAAACTTAGGCACTGATATATTTTTGAGATGCCTACAGAAACGTTGTGACTAAAATTGAATATTCGGCTAGAACTCCAAAAAATTTGCTTACTTTCATACTTTACACAAGAAGCTTATAAAATTAAGCAAAAGACGTTTGTGATTACCAAATTCGTAGTGCTGCATTCCTCTTATTTAAAAAGGGAAAGGCTATTAAATCCTAATTAGCTGGGACAGATATGAAGTTCTGTTCTAATTACTTAGACAGCACAAAGGTAGTTATTCATGGATGGGCCAAACATGAACAAAACAAATCATTTTAGATCTTTCAAAATTATGTTCTTCTAAACTATTTTTACATCGTAGAGGGATAAGCCGGTCAGTGTTTTGAGTAGCAAGCTTTGACTTCTTACAAAAATTGAGGTCTGTGACTGATGATGTCCCTTGTATGACAGTCTGAAACTTGTACACGTTCACTGGTACCTAAGGAGGGTGCCCTACGAACTTGGTCAACTACAAACCACTTTATTGCATACTTTAATACGTGATTAAAGTCAGATCAGCACTGATAAATTTGGAGGTCCAGCGAAAAAATATTCATATTTACATTCTAATGAAGCCAGAGTATTCCGGCTGTAGCTTTGATACTATTTCTCTGTATTAAGTAATTCGTATAGGCCACCCGGAGTTACGACGTACGGATATCCCCTGTCTTTTGTTTTCTTCCAACACTATATTTATAATCATAACCTTTATAGAGTCTGCCTTATATTTAAAGCATGTTTCAATCGATACATTTTTTCGCGTTATGAATGCAATGATCACTCTTACCTTTCCATACTAAATACGATATGTCACGCTTTGACAACTCCCAGGTTGACGCTCTCCACTCTACAGAATCAGAAGTTGGACACAATATAGGACCGCGTGAGTACGTATACAATCTTTTGCCTCGTAAGGCCTTGCCAACTCAAAATAATTTAACTCACCTCCCTAAGATCCGGAACACACATGCAGACGAAGAGCGAAAGCATCTTAAATCCAAAATGAATAGGAACAAGACGATGGGCCCACCTAGTCATATAGTGTGTCTACCATCCCTTTCAGAAAAGGCTAATAATTTTTTAAGGAAGCAAACAAGGAGACCCTATGTGGACCAAAAACAACTACAGTCGTCCATTTTGGAGAGGAAATTTTGTCCAAATAAACCAAAGGTGGAAAACTTAAAAGAGGATTTAGCTGATACAGTTGATAATGCAACAGAAAGCACATCAGAAAATAAAAAGCCCACGACAGAGCACAGACGCAAGCGTGCTGGATGCTGTTCTGGAACGAAGCCACTCGTTCCTCTACAAGGTAGCCTGGATCCAGAAAATCAGACTTTTTCAAAGACCCGAAAGAAGACAAAAGGGCCTAGGGGCAACTTCATCGAACGTAATTCTATGCACGCAATAACTATGGAGCCAGGCAAAAATCTCCCCAAATTTGCGCGCTTCAGACAGGCGGACACCAGACACGGAGATATACGAAATCTGGAGTCAGAAAAGACGCACTCGGGTCTCAGTAAGCGTTACGTCTGGAAACCACAGCTTGGCCGGATGCCAGTTTACCTGGTGCGTCGTCTACAGCAGATTCGCGTAGCACAAGAGCACTATTTACACTACAAAAATGAGACGGAGACCCAGTTTGCTGACTATCTTTTGACTCCAGAACAGAGAAACGAGCTGCTTCAGGGATTAAAGGCGGCCTGGGACAAATACAATCGTGCATATCTTGGTTTATCGTCCAGCAGCGATACGCTTAAAACAAAAGCCTACAAGCAATATCTCGAGGGTGAAATGGACCAACTTGAAAAAGATATTAATCTGGTAGAACGTCATCAATTCCTGTTTGTAGACTCGGTCAAGCCAACTGGTCCAGTTGCCAAGATTACACAACACATGCAAATGCAAAAGGCTTAGAGGCCATTCCAGGTTGGAAGAATAGCCTACTCGCAGATAAATGGTCTAAATAATGAAAACAATAGGTTTGCTAAATGTATTCTCCTCCTTAAATGGTACTCTTCGGAGGGATAATTAAGACCGAAAATTTCGAAGTATTTCCTTCACGATACTGATAAAGATGTGTAGAACAAATACAAATGAAAACTGTTTAGCCTTGCGAAACATCTTTATAGTTTTTCGGGATCCCAAGGTCTCCTACAGTATTATAAGAAAATTTCACCTCTGGATTTACCAAATGGTAACAAATGAATTCTGAAAAAATAGGATTCTTATTTTGGTTCTTGTAAATTACAATCTTATTGCTACAAATCCACCTGAATTATATGAATAAATGTACACATCTTTGTTTGGAAGTCCCATCCTGTTAAATGAAATCAATAAAATGTGCATAAAATGGCGGTCGCAAATATCGGTCATTGCACCTTACCAGTTAGTGTTATTAAGGACTATAAAAATCTAGGCTTGAACGTAAATACATAAATGGAGACTCAGGAACCTTGTCTGTAACAACCTCCATATATATGGTGTGAAGACCAAGATGGTTTGGCCTTTTCTATGGTCGCAGTCTCCTTTCTTTGTATAGAGGTTGTTTGACCTTGTTTTCGCAAAATGGTCAGATTGGTAGGAAGACTTAGAGGAACGCACCTAGTCCGGAGTTCATTGTCTGCATGATCATTTCCAAAGTAGAACTGTGGACGTGGTACGTTCCCAAACGTTTAGCCAGAATCATAGTCGGCATCGTCAGTAAGTATCGCCATTCTTAGCACCAAACAACAACTCGTCAAAGAAGCAAGTGAAGCTGATCCTTTGACCAAACGTTTGGAAATGTACCACGTCCACGGTTCGACTTTGGAAATGATCATGCATCCAATGGATTCCGGACTAGGCGTGTTCCTATAAGTCTTCCTACCAATTTGGCCATGTTGCGAAAACAAGGTCAAACAACCTCTATGCGACGAAAGGAGACTGAGACCACACAAAAGACCACAATATCTTGGTCTCCATACCTTCAAATAAACTATGGAAGTAAGATTGCTAAACAATGCACTAACTACAGCCGGACGAAGAAGCCAATCGTAAGTCAATCCGGCCATTTTGCCTTTTTCGAATTGTTGCAAACATTATGGTATCGCTCCCTGATTTTACAATCTAATGAGAAGGTGTCATTCTGACACTATGAATGAAATTCTTTATCACGCCTCCATGCAGAAATTAGTAGAAAGTTAAGAGACCGAGAGGCGTAAGCTATTTAAGTTCATAGATCTCAAGTCTAGATTAAGGAAGGATTGAGGTAGGGTTCTCGCTTTGGATGATTTTCAAAAACTTCCGAGCATGACCGACCAGAAGTCACAGAGGGTCCGGGATCTGATAAATAAGCGACATGACAAGAAATTGCTTAGCTATGGGATAATTAGACAATACAAGACCAAGCCAACCGGGCCAAATTGTGATGGTTCTCTATTAAAGGCATCAACTGGTACAGATGACAATAGGACTATGGTAGTAAATCTATCTTCAATCCCTCTTGATTATGAAACTACGGATCTCTTAAAAAAGGGGTTACATTTTTAAACAGGTAATGAAGGAAATAATCTTAGTGATATCCTGGCGGAAGTTGTCAACATAACGGATAAACATCCAGAA